AGATGTTCTTGCTTTCTCCGTTTCTGAGCCGCTTATGAGCCGGTTCAAAGTCCTCATCACAACTGCTTACTTGGGTCTGTGTCATTTGATTGTTCAAGGATTGGTTCAATTGTGCCTGAACAAATATAAAAAAATAAGGGGAAAAAAATTCAAAGGCAAGGACACTAGACCATATGGCAAGACTAAAATAGGAGACATGCTGTCCGCCAATGTGCTCAAATGTCTACGGGATTTCACATTTAATAGTAAAAAAACACATCAGTAGCAGATGCAGCAGTCACATTTAGAATGGGGTTTAATGCAACGGTTGAAGATTCTAAACCAACCTTTGAACTAGATGCCATGGATGTCAGTCCACTGTCTACTCGACTCCCGACATTAATTTGAACCGAGATGCTGGCCTGGGACAAATCCACACCAGAAGATTGCAGTGCCTGTGTCAGATTGTTCAATACCCTGCTCAGCACAAAAGCTAACTCAGTAACAGCAAAATGATATCTTTCTATAACGAAGTAGATTATAAGAGTCCTGTTATATTATGCGAATCGAGTACTTCAAAATACAAAATTGATAGAATATGTAAGCATTGAAAACAATAGTTTGTGATACCATTACAGATTTCACGATCCAACATATCCTACAACAACATAAATAAAAGAAACAGCCATCATGGCTTAAATGTTAAAAGCTAACCCATCTTAAGGCCAATTTTGAAGAATGAAATGATCTACGGCTTCTCCTGGAAACTTATTTGAACATTTTGACAATATTTTCAGGCAATTATGAAATTCCTATTCCTAGTCCCCACTGGTAACGCTTTCAAAATTTGAACTCAAAATCTCAACTTAGGATAAGCATGATTGCAATAGAATACAACCAGGGGAATTTACTCCACCACAATAAACATGTTGAACAATAGCTTGGCATCTGGTACAATAAAGTTATCAAGAGATCTTTGTGGAAGCTCACCCTTGAGAGTAGGCACTTGAGATGCTACCAGATCCACTATTTTCATCCTGTTTCTTCAGTTTATCGTCTGAAGCAGTTGTAGATGTTATACCCTGCCACAATTGGTATGGAGGATTGGAAGTCATGTTCTCGGCATCAGAAATAGATTCCTGCAGAGGTTGTGTGGGTAGTCCAACACTCCCAATTGGGTCAAAGATGTTTTGTTGTTGCACATTAGGAACTGATCGAGTAGCTAACCCAGGTATGTGATCCAATGCTTTGTAAACAACGCCAGAGCCCAAGTCAGATTCCACTGAGTTATGGGTGTTGGGGAGCATTGCTGGAGAGACAACTGCATTATTCTCATGACCAGAACCATTGTTCATAACTTGAGACTGATCTACAAAATTTTCTCCAGGCCTATTATGATTTTTCTGTGGCAAACAAATAAATGGTAGGTTGGTAAGTTTCCACTGGGTGGGCAGCTACGAGTCATACTAATTCTTAATATCAGAAGTAACCTCCGAAAATCCTATATACGCCCACATACAAATATATAGGGTTGCAGTTGTCTCAGGTATGATCTTGTTCTTCAGTAACAGTAAAAATCCTCTCTACCTGGATTTTGGTGCAAGTTGCAACTGTTGTGTGCAGGTGTCTATTTGGTGTTGGTTTCATGTACCATATACATGCTATGATTTAAGGGAACAACAGAATTTCATAGTTTCCAATTTTCTTTTTCCACCAAATAAAGGGCATAAATTGCACCTTCCAGCTATTAATTTGAAAAATACACACACAAAAAAACATATAGCAAAAGATAAAGTCTGACACTAACTTTCTTGGTATAAAGGCAAGGTTCTTCTGTCTCTAGTTGGACATGCCTCTTAGTGCATGCCAATAAGAAGTACCTCTAACACATGCAGATATTCAAAATGCACATACTCATGCCCAGCACTTACACTTTTTTCAAGTGTCAAAATAACACCTATTGAAATTGACAATGCCATACAAAAGTGATAAAGGATAATGACTCCAAGACCATAACACATGCATATCTAACCAAGCCAACACTCTCGCACACAGACACAGATATCAAGCATTAGAGTTTTACCCATGGCATCAATTTTGTGGGCTCTGGACTCCATCCTTGGTATCCCTCATACAAATTTACCTTCTCCTGTAAAAATTGTATATACTCTATAACCTGCATATAGACACAATATATTTGAATATGATACGGAGCATGTTCTATCAAAATAATATGACAATGAGGGTAAAGTATTATCAACATATAAGCAGAGCACAAATGGAATGCGTACCTCCAACAAGAATGAGGCCTTATCCCTTTTCTGATCATTTTTGGGTATGAGATCTCTCAACATCTGAAATCTGCCTCAGAAATATGTATTGCCCAGGTGAGTGAAGAGTTTATGCCCATGCTATTAAAAAGAAAGACCCGCATAGCATAAAAGAGCAGCAAACAAAGTTACAACAGTAATAGAAAGATAAAATCTTCATATCGCCAACAATTTAACTTAATACCAAAAAAGAAGAGAGGGGGGGTTGGGGAGGAAGGATCAAAGACTACAATAAAAGATCAACACATAATGCTTTCATTAAATATAAATAAATAAACATTCGATGCTCAAATTTGCTAACTTGCATGAGTAATAGACAAATTCAATTTTGGATAGCCAAATAGGCTTGAAAATGTGTACCCACAAGGTCAAACATTTTGTAAATTTTTGAACTTTTAAAGTTTTTAATTCTTGTAAGAGAATTTTCTACAGCTTAGAAGTCCTCCTTTACCACCCTGAACTCTCTTCTTTTTCTCTTCCTAATACAAAATTCAACAAAACACACAACTGAAGTACGACATCTACGAAAATATAATGCCAACTTTTCCTGTAGGTACATTGTGGCAATTGGTAAGGCCCCATTTTGTTTGAAAAATGAAAGGAAAAATGAAAATGAAAACACAGAGACCTTTTACTGCAACTATAACATATCCAACGCAAAAACAATTTCCCTCTACTTATTCTAACTATAATTTTCGAGCTCTGGAAACATGTACAAAGCAGAATTGCAAAAGAAAAATTGAAGGAGTGATTTAATGCAAAGAGGAAAAAAAAAGGGCTTAGGCTTTGAGCTTGCCTCTCATTAATCTTGCTCCTCCTACGCTGCTCAGTCTCGGAATGCTTGGACCGGTTCTTTTCCCTGCCTTGCCCTTCTACCTTCACTGCCAAATTCCCTATCAATTCATTATTAGCTTCATCCCTTAACAACAACAACAACAACAAAAAAACCAGTTCTCAAGGCAGCCACAACTAGCTCACATGGAGAGAGAGAGAGAGAGAGGGAGATACCTCCATGAGACTCTTCATCATCGTCTTCAAATTCATCGTGGTGGCCCTTGGAAGCTTTCGCCATCTCCGATATATACTGTAACCGCCACAAATATAATAAATTTATCCCTAAATAAATAAATAAAATGAAGCCAATATGACAATACACAGAGAGAGAGAGAGAGAGAGAGAGAGAAAGAGTACTCAGGAGGAGTTCGTCAGACAGTGCGGCGAGTGTGAGTGGTGGCTGTAGTGGAATGCGGGAGGTCCTGGTCGAAGGGGAGTGCCCGAATTGGGTCCGACGGGTCTGGAAATAGTTAAAAAGGTGTGGTCTTGTTGGTGGAGTTTTGGATTTTGGATTTTGTACAGACAGTTGTTACAGTAAAGACAACCATGGAATTGGAGCCCTAGGTGGCACTGTTTCTATTCTTTAAACGAGTAACTTAAAAACCAAAGACCTTAACAAATATTTAATTATTTTTAATATTAATTAATTCCACCATTAAACCTTAATTAACTGATTTATTCATTCTGGTAGTGGCCACCACTGGAACTAATGTGACCCGCCAGCCACCAGGGCCTAATTTGGGCTAATTTGTTCTTCTTGTGACCACGTGGGCTTGGGCTTAGAGATGCATCTCATGATTCCTGATGGACTCTACCCTATAACATGATCTGTCCACAGCTATCTTGTTGTCGCATTAAGGTGTGGGACCTGACCTTAGAGAGGGAGAGAAACTCTCACGCAACGGAGATAACAATTTTTGCTATCTCCGGTCAATAATACAATGAAATGTAGAATAACTTTTTCATATGTCATTGTATTATTGACAAGGTATTGGAGTGTTACCCTTTGCTCTATGTTTTAGTTTCTCATGAATGAGATGTTTTCTGCATTGGATAATATGGACGAAATTCCTTCCACGAGTTTGAAGTAGAATTTTGAGTTTATATTTTCTAAAGTTTGTTAAATGCGAGTTTGTATATGTTCTTTCCAGTTTCTACATTATGATGGATGTACAATTTGTTTGATTTGCCATTAGAGCTTCAAAAGGCTTCTAAACATAGACAAAAGACAATATGAACACCAGATTTTGTCAAGGATTGTCATCATGTTACTTTAGTCAAGGATAGTCACATTGGGCAGCAGTTTCTCAAATGATAACTGTTGTATATAAACATGCATCTTGAAGAATATGAGGGAGTTTCACTGAAAAAGAGGTTTTTAGTCAGTTTCTGCTTATGTGATGGGCTTGTTGAAAATCAAAGGATATGGAATTTGTGTATTTTTACTACATTGCAAAGTCTTCTTTCATATTCTTCTGCCCGACACCCGAGGGGCCAAAAAGATTAATCAACATGAACTTCAAACTCCAATTATCTATGTTTACAAGGCGCCCACTCAGAATGGTGGATTCATGTTTGAATGAGTACAACAACCAAATGGTGGCATAATTTCAGACGAGGACCACTGCAAAGAATTTAATTCAATCAACATGTCTAACAAACAAAACTCCCTACAAAATTAGAGAGGTTAAGCTAGGGCTACAATTTCATGGAGAACGTACGAGTTTACATCAAAATTGGTTGTGGGGTTAAATAATGACCTATATAATTGTAAAAAGGGCTTAAACAACCCAACAAAAATGAGTAAATGCTTCAATGAGAGCCAAATCAGTCCGGTGTCTTGTGTTCTTGAACCACAGTTAGGAAACTGGCATTTCCCTTATGAAATTGGACCTGAAGATGATTCCAAATTTGCTTGGATCATACTAGTGAAGATATATTTTATGTACAGAACTGCCGTGTAGGATGACCATGTCGATAATCAGCCTCACTACCTTTCTCCACCCTCAAGCTCTTCTTGATCCTCCAACTGAGTCTCTTCTTTGTTGCTTAAGTCTCCATTACCACCTTCATGATATCCATTATTTTTCCGGAAAAACAATCCTGATGACGTGGAGTCGTCTTCATCTAGAGTTTCTTCATTTTCCTTGTCTTTTGACTGCAGTATCAAATCATTCTCCATCCAAGAAGGGCAATAGTGCACAACTCCAAGAGCAGCAAGAACTTGAGAATGACTAGTAGAAGTTGAAGTATGATCTGATGTTGTAGCATTAATTGATTTTCCCGCAGGATCATGCCTCAAGCAAGAGCATTCTGGGACAGGATGAGAGATAAAAGACAGTGGTTTTGATCTTGCGGAAGCTTCTATTACTCCATCAACTAATCTCTTCCTCAAATTCTTGCGCACTGACATCAGCCAAGTATGGTTTGCATGGTAAAGGTGGTCACGAATTTCTTCTAAAAGCTTGGTGACTTTTTTTCTGTGTTCACAAAAGCACAAGAAATAATTTTATAGAAAACATAGTCTACCATAATCTACAAGAAAGCAAATGAACATAACAATTTCGCATAATTTTCAAGTATACACACAGTAATTTTAGACCTAGCAGTTCATGATCACAACTTCATTTAATCCCTATTTCCATGCTATCAAGAATGACAAAAAAAACCAAGAAAATACCAGGCTACAAACAAGACTTGTCAGTTAATTTGAAAAAAAAAAAAAAAAAGAAGTAAAGAGACACAGATAGGTAGCACTGAGATTACTAGCCACTTGCCATATCTGTGTCCATAAACACATCAAACTTTGAAAGAAAAAGAACCAAGAAACTAAAAGCAATGGATCAGAACACCTTGACTGAATAAACTAACAGCTCAAATGCTTCAAATCAACAAATCCTACATCGTAATCCTGATTCAAGAAAAAATTTACTTTCCATAGTTTATGTCAAAGAAAAGCACCAAACACTAAAAGACCTTCGACTTATTAATCGTGTGCACACACATGTCCAGATAACGCAACATACCTGTCTGGCCTGTACGTCTTTGATGCAGCTGACTGATAGAGTCGGTGTCCCATGACTAAGCTTGCAAAATTTGGATGCCCCTTACCATCAAGATCGAATCCAGGGATGAATACATCAGCTTCAACGCATATCACATAATCAATTGCTTCCCACAGTAGTTTATGGGCATTGGTCCTCAATTCCATAACTGTACTATCAGGCTCGTTATCACTCTCAGCTACCCAACCCCACCAACCTTCAATGTTATAGGATTTTGGCCTAGCTGGAGGTGGTGGAAGCGGGCGAGGACGTGGCCCCGCAGTTTTCCATGCTTCAATCTTCATCTCTTCCTCAATCATAGGTGGACTCCCAGGATTGCGATCAACAAGGTTAGCCTCACGACCATAAATCCTACTGAGCTCCCAAGGCATGCTGAGGGAAGTCCTATCAACAACATTTTCAAACATTGCACGAAGAGGGATCAATGTCCTTTGGCCACCAAAAATTTCTCCCCCAGAGACATATATTATTGTGTCCCACAAGTACCCATATGCACGAAGAACAATACCAATCTGTAGCAATCCAAGGAATATAAATAAAAGGCTCCATGAGAAGTCATTCTTATCGAAGGATGTGGACAATATTTTTCTCTAGTGAATTTAACGCTAAATAGACTTGGTAGTATATATAAGAACTAAGGGGGTCGTTATGATTATGAAAATTATTTTTGTATTGTAGCCATATGTTGTATCTTACCTCTTCTGGCATTAGTGGGCAAGAACCATTAAGGCGTCGTTCTGCAGAATTCACCGAAAGCTTCCCCTTGACAATTCCACGTTTTATCATCCAATGTCTTTTGTGCTGAATGAGTTCAGTGTGCACATCCTTGGGAAGAGTTTCAAACATATGCAAATCAAATGCTGTGAAAGCATTCCAAAAAGATAGTTCATCATGCAATCAGCTTTGAAGCAATTACCTGGAAGAGTTCAGCACAACCATGATATGCCAACGCTTCCCTGGTCATTCCAGGGTCAAATGCTATAAATGGCTGTCCAGGAGCCCTTAATCTAAAGCAATAGTAAATATATGTTAAAAGCCATCCAGATGAGAAAAAAAAAATAGATATGGATACATAGAGAGTGCAGAGTGAAGAGTGAAGAGAGAAGAGTAAATGACGGCTGGTAATTGACCTGTGTAAAATTTCAGTGGCAAGTTCCTGGACTTCCTGCCGGAACCGAAGGGCATGGAAGGCAACCCTACATCTCAGCCTCTGATATTCTTCAAGATCAGGTGGCAGGATAGCCTGCATTAAATCCAAACAAAGTAGTAACGTCACAAAATGAAAAGGAGATTATTGCTAGTAACAATTATATCATCAAACCAAGATATACTCAAAGTGCAGGAATCTCCATTTATGAGTACAATGCAATTGAGAGAACAGACATTGGTACCTGCAAGCATCCTCCATCAGACACAACCAGTTCAACTACTAAATGCTTCTTTAAAATTGGAAGAACATGGCGCTTATAGTAATACGGTGAAGCAGAGTAAGGCACTTTAAACACTGGAATGTTCTTTTTTCTCCTCAGCCCTTTCAGATTTTTAGGAAGGGTCTTCACAACTTTGACATCTTTTGATAAAGCCGCCATGAATTGGTCCTCATTGTAGAGATAGGCAAAACTCTTAAACTGAGAGCTACATGAAAACATTAGACACAATAAATCAACAAAGAAATAAGTACTCTATACATCAAATTTAGGTCATAAACAAACAAAGCCTTGTAATGATTGTCCGAAAAGAAACCTGATGCCTTTGCTGCTTGTGGTTGATTGTATCTCAGGAATGACTAATGTTGCATTAAGAAACCGAGCAACCACAACTACATCACATATCTGAAAAATCAATAAGATGCTGTGGTTGTAAACTTATAAGATATTTAAATATAATGGAGAACAGGCTATTCAAGCATGACACCCTTACCGAATTCCTGATCTCATGAAACCCGCCTTGTATCCTTACAAAGATAAACCCGCTGGTATCTGAACCAGGATCTGTGACACACATTTAACTTTAGAAGGCATCTATGGAATTAATACTACCAAAAAATAGACGATATACATAGTTTTGACTCTGCAGGTATCAACTGTAAGAAAATTATAAGGATCTTCAATCCCTACCCCAAGACTTAGCTATGGTAATTATACAGTAATAAATAACAGTTTGAACCCAAAATTTCAAGGTTTCAATATCCAAAATTAAGACATGAAACATTTCCTTGTGGACTTGTAGGAAACACTACTACTATAACACTGCTCACTGGTCAGATTAAATCGATGACCCCACTGGTTGTGTTAAACCTACAGTCCGACAATGAAGGCAGCACTCTCCTAAAGTAAGATTTTAAACAGATAAATAAAGAGAAAGAAGGGTTATCATCAACCTTTTGGTAAGCATTAATTTTGCATAGGAAATCTTTAACTAATAATTGTCTAACATAAGCCTCCAGAGAGCGCTACACCTATACAGAAATCACTAGCAAGATGAAAAGTGGCTTAACCAGCATAGTGTCCTCTGGGATTTGCATTGGGATGCAAAGATTCCAGATGTCTAACCGGTCCCCATAGCCTTCTATACATTGGACTCTGCACCCGAAAGTAGAGGGATAAGTAGCCATCATAGACAACAAACAGACAATAGTGACACTAAACAGTCCAGATAATATCCAAAACCTTCCATGGAAAATAATAACAGATAAATGAACAAAAACGGATCCACACTAATTCACACTCAAACTAAACTTATTTCAGAAAACCAACAAAATAATTCATGTACATCATGGCGGGTTTCAGAAAACCAGCCAAATCCCAATGCAATATTGTCCCCAAAACCAATTTCACCAGGACAACACTGATTCCCACTCTTTAGAGTAAGAACAAGTCTTGCCCAGCAGAAACCAACAGAGTACTTGAAACCCAGAGACAGATAACACTTAGGACAATAAGCAAAGAGAATCAAATTTAAGAAAAACATGAATCTCTATAAGAGCGAGAGAGAGAGAGAGAGAGAGAGAGAGAGAGCACTTAAGGACAGAGCAAACAGAGCAAATGTAAAAAATAAAAATAAAAAATAAAAAATAAAAAAGAGATCTTAGTTGGGATAGTGCAATTACAGTCTTCGAAAAATTCAAGCTTTCACCAATGGTTCGCCTGGGGAAGATTGTGATTGAGGAGTGGTACTCTGAAACACCCCCTTCTGTGAATCTAGCCAGCAAAAAGTGAACAAAGAGGGATATAGCTGAGAGAACCAGACCAAGCAGACCAACCCATTTCATTTTGGACTTGAACACCATCTTTCCCTCTCCTTTCATTAAAACCCACCTAAAAGAATCTGTCTCCTACTAGATTGCAGAAGCAAGGATGAACAGAGAGAGGACTGCAGGGGTTAGTAGAAAGGGAAGTCACAGTGAGAGAGAGAGAGAGAGAGAGAGAGAGAGAGAGAGAGTGGGTGGAGGGGCGGCACGTGCGAGTGAGATGCACACAACATTTGAGTGTTGGAGATTAATGGAGCAGAGATATGTTGTTTTATTACATTTAAGTATTTTTATGTTTTTCATAAATCTTTGTCTCATGAGAGCCCACTCTCCACTCCAGAGAGTGGATAAGACGACCCAATGAAATGGGAGATATGAGGGGTTGTTGGCAGAGGTGTACATTAAGCGTTGGCTAATATTTTGAAGAATTGATAAAGTTGTATGATTGAAAGCAATGGGATGGAGTTTGAGTTTGGTCACGTGAGGTAAAGGTTGTGGCTTTATGTCTCTGGTTGGATTGGATGAGTTTGGGTTTTGGGGGCTTTGTATAGTTGTGTTTCTGTGACTCTCTCTAAGTAGACCAAAGGGTTTTTTTTTGTGGGAGATGAGAATCTGAAAGGAGGGATCAAATATAAAAGAGAGAAACTTTTGGGTGATGATGAGTGTTTAAAGAAAGTAGGAACTGTTTTGGGTTGGGGCAGAAGAATCAATGAAAGTTGAATGGGAAGAAGAAATTGCTTGCATGAGTTATTGTTGTTGACCAGCATTTGACTCTTTTCAATCGATGTATTTTTGCTATTTCTATTTTTAGTATTAGAAGAGATTTCAAATTCGAATTATCTTTCTTTATTTAAAAGACACGAAGACGGTGCCAATTACATAAGGAAGGAAAAAAATTGGATTGAAAACCATAAATAAACAAATAAAAGGGACTGATGATGTTGTCTTTTTCCCATAATTTCACAATAATATTATTTTCCTTTTTTCCTTTTGTCATATGTTTATTTCTTCTAAATGACAATGCACACACTTTTAACTTTATTATGGTCAATTATTTACTCCATGGGGACTTGGACTGTATGTAAAGACCTTCTCTTTAATCAGAAGACAGTTGCTGTAAAGCACATCAGGGCTTGACTACCTTTTCGTTATGCTAGGCAAAAAACAAGGGTGGAAAGTTCAATTTTTTGTTAGTTGGTAACTTCTTTTTTTTTTTTTTGCTTTTTCTTTTGAGTTAGGTGTTAGGACAAGGTTGTGGACAAAATAAAAAAGGTAACGCGGAGGGGAAAGGTGGTAACCCATTTTTTACCACTTTGGTGTAGATTGAGTGGACGCACCTCCACCGTTTTTCTAACTCCAATATAACGCAACAAATTGGAATATAATAACATTACCAATAAATAATTATTAACTCTCCGTCATTCGTAATTCATTAACTTCTGTCATTGCGTAAATTTTTTTTGGACACAAGCGATATTGGAGGAGAGAAATTCGAATACAGAATCTCATATACAGTAGTAACAATAACGGTTTGAGTTTACCGCACATTTCATTCATACACACATCTTTATATATCAAAAATTGGGAAATGGACTGGTTTTAAGCCCAACAATTAGACCATTGTTCAATCCATTAATGGACCGCCTTCGGCCGGGTTAAAGACTAAAAGACCAGTGAGTAAATGAGGCCCAACAATGATTTGGAAATTTCAAGTTCCAGATCTTTCTTTCCCACGACGACCGTCAAGACAAACCACCACGTGTCAACGACCAACTCTCATGGAGTCACATCCTTCACTGCCATTGGACATCTCAGGGCCCAGTAACGTCATACAACCCAAATCAGATGAAAACCCGCCACGTTACCGTCGAACGAACGACGCACACCCACGTGGCAAAATAACGCGCACATATTATTACTGCCCGTAATTTTCTTCCTTTATTTCGAATTTAAAAAAGAGAAAGTTCAATTATTCGCTAAACCCCCTTCCGCTTCTCGCGAATGGGAGTTAGAGACGAAAAACTCCAAAAGCGGGAGAGAGAAGAACTGTGAACAGCATTGCTTTTGAGGTCCGATCAAATCAAATCTGGCCGTTGATATTTCTTTCATCCAATCCCCGCCCTCCGTCTTCGATTCAGTCTTGTCTCAACGGCGGTGGATCTCCGGTAAGCTCCGCCGTCCGGTTGCCCTGCATCGCGGTCTCCGGTGAGTCTCACTCTTTCGTTTTTTGTCTGAGCTCTCCATTAGAAAACACTATTGTTTAGTGAGTTTTTGCAATTTTCAGACCGCGATTAGCTTCGATTTCGCTTCCATTTGAATCTCAGGTTTGTGTCCAATTGTTACGGTAGAGTTTGGGATCAATTTTGATTATTTGTATTATTCTTGCGGCATTGTTTTTTTATTTATGTTTTGTGCTTTTTTCGTTAAGTTTTATGTATTAGACAAGTTAAAAAATTCCCAGCACTTTTTAAATTACTGATTCGGAGGAGAAATTTTGAAGAAAAAAAAAAGTGAAGAGCTTTGAGTAGGAGATTTGAATGGACAAGAAATTTAAAGTTGATTCTTGGCGTTGTAATTTGGGTTTCAAGTTGATGATCAGACTGCTTTTTGTCATAAGAATTTTCCTAGAAAAAGATTCCCTTTTTTTCACGCATATATACCTGTCTCTGTGTGTGTATGTATGCATGCATGATTGTATATATGTATGTAAGCATGCATGATTGTAAATATATATGTATGTATGCATGCATGATTGTATATATGTATGTACTGCATGCATGATTGTATATATGTATGTGCTGCATGCATGATTGTGTAGATGTATGTATGCATGCATGATTGTAAATATGGATGTATGTACCGGGTCACCAAATGAGTGAATCGTTTTCAGATAGGGACGTCTATTTGTTTCCTTTCAAACTCTTCAAGTATTAGGGATTGGAAGAAACAAATGTAAAAAGAAGATTTATCTTATACTTTTATTTCTTTGTAAATCACTATTCTTTAAAAGATTATCTAATGAATGTGTTATTCTGGAATAGCTAGCCAGCCAGTGTCATTATCAGGTGGCCTCTGCAATGTAGCAAATTGGCAAAGTGGGTGACTTCTTCGATATAGCTTTTCCAGTGTGAAAATCAGTTGTCTTCCACTAGTTTGATTATGATTGTTTACATTACAAACATTTTCCTTCAATTAGTGCCGGCATTTGAGTTTGGCGTCTGCGTGAGAGAGAAGCTCTCTGCTGCCGCTGCCTCTGCTGCCGGCATTGGAACTTGCCACTTCTCTGCTTCCTTTCATGTCTCCTGAATTGGGTAAACCTGTACATAACCAGATGGCAGTCGCAACCTTCAAAGGACCTCTTAATGGTGAGTACCATGGGAAAAAGACATTGGAAAGAAAAAATTCTGGCAAGAGACGTGTGTTTGTGCAGACTGAAAGTGGTTCTGTCTTGGGCATAGAGCTAGATAGGGGTGACAATGTCCACACAGTGAAGAGGAAATTACGGCTTGCACTTAATGTCCCAACTGATGAGAGTTCATTGGTATGTGGTGACATGGTGTTGAAGAATGATCTCAGCATTGTTCGAAATGATTCTCCGCTTCTTCTCACCCGGAACTTCTTGCACAGAAGCTTGTCTACACCCTGTCTCTCGCCAACTGGGAAGGATCTTCAGCAGAGGGATCAGAGTGGTCCAATTGAGGTACTGGGGTACTCGGATCAATTTGCCAGAACAAAACAATTAGTTGTGGATATTGTGAAGGCAATAAGAAATGGCATTGATCCAGTTCCTGTTCACAGTGGGCTTGGAGGTGCATATTACTTTAGAAATTGCAGTGGTGAAAATATTGCCATTGTGAAACCAACGGATGAGGAACCTTATGCTCCAAACAACCCAAAAGGTTTTGTTGGGAAAGCACTTGGACAACCAGGTCTCAAACGTTCAGTACGGGTTGGGGAGACAGGTTTCAGAGAAGTTGCAGCTTTCCTTCTTGATTACAATAATTTTGCTAATGTGCCTGACACTGCTCTTGTGAAGATCACACATTCAGTTTTTAATGTGAATGATGGAGTGAAAGGTAATGTGCATCGAAACGGAAAGCAAGCAAGTAAGATTGCATCACTGCAGCAATTCATTCCTCATGATTTTGATGCCAGTGATCATGGGACTTCCAGCTTCCCTGTTGCTGCTGTGCATAGGATAGGGATTCTAGATATTCGGATTCTTAACACAGACAGGCATGCAGGGAATCTTCTGGTTAGGAAGCTTGATGGTGGTGGGAGGTTTGGTCGGGTAGAGCTTGTACCCATTGATCATGGCCTTTGTCTACCTGAAAGCTTAGAGGATCCATACTTTGAGTGGATACACTGGCCTCAGGCATCAATTCCTTTCTCAGATGATGAGCTTGCATATATAAATAAACTTGACCCTTTTAAGGACTCTGATATGCTCAGAATGGAGCTGCCCATGATTCGAGAGGCATGCCTCCGAGTCTTGGTTCTTTGCACGATTTTTCTCAAGGAAGCTGCAGCCTTTGGCCTCTGTCTTTCTGAGATTGGTGAGATGATGAGTAGAGAATATCGGGGCCATGAGGAGGAGCCGAGTGAACTCGAGATAATATGCATTGAAGCAAAGACACTGTTGGATGAGGAAATATCTTATTTTGAGCCAAAAGCAGGCAGGGAGGAGTTTCTGTTTGAGCTCGACTGTCGGGAGGAGGAGCTGGATTTGGCTCCAACTACAGAAGAGAAAATGAAAACTGAAAGGACTTTCCGTTTTGGGTCAAAAGGTGGAAATGGAAGATACTTACTATCCAAACTAGAGGAGGGTGTGGAGGAGGGTGTGGACGGGCACGAGGGAAATGAGTTACCTCCAAGGTCAGATGACTGTGTTAGTGTAGTGCGGGATCAGATTCCAAATGTTTCAAAGCTGTCAACATCATTGAAAAACATCAGCGTTGGTGAGAAGAGTTGGCGACACCTAGGCTCAATGCAGAAGAACGGCTATTTGGCTGGCACATCCTCAGGAAATAGGAGCGTGAATGAGCAGCGGCCTATGAGCAGTAATTTTGTGATGTTGGCAGATATGAATGAAGAGGAATGGATGCGGTTTCTTGAGAATTTCCAGAGATTGCTGCGCCCTGCTTTTGCAAATCGCAATGCAGGGAATGTGGGTCAGAGG